AATTTAAGATATCATTTTTAGATCCTAGTGATTTTATTTTTTCTCCATCATAAAATATTTTATTAAGGCCGGGCGCGGTGGCTCAAGCCTATAATCCCAGCACTTTGGGAGGCCGAGATGGGTGGATCACGAGGTCAGGAGATCGAGACCATCCTGGCTAACATGGTGAAACCCCGTCCCTACTAAAAAATACAAAAAACTAGCCGGGCGTGGTGGCGGGCGCCTGTAGTCCCAGCTACTCGGAGCCTGAGGCAGGAGAATGGCGTAAACCCGGGAGGCGGAGCTTGCAGTGAGCCGAGATCGCGCCACTGCACTCCAGCCTGGGTGACACAGCGAGACTCCGTCTAAAAAAAAAAAAAAAAAAAAAAAATTTATTAATATTAACATTCTGTTAATCCACTGCATGGCAGCCTGGGCAACAACAGAATGAGACCCTGTCTCAAAAAAAAAAAAAGAAATTACATACGCAAAATATTGCATATCTTTTTTTTTTTTAGGCAAGTTCTGCTGTCACTCAGGTTGGAGTGCAGTGGCATGATCATAGCTCATTGTAACCTGGAATTCCTGGCCTCAAATGATCCTCCCACTTCAGTCTGCCAGAGTGCTGGGATTACAGGCAGAAGCCACCTTGCCCGGCCCTTAAGTTGCCATGTTTTTAGTACTGTATATTCTGCCTTGTTTCCACAGTTCTAAGGAAAGATCAGCCACAAATATGTAATTTGTATTATATATCATTACAGAAAACATGAAAAACCCAGATGTATACCAGTTGGTATGGTTAAAAAAATTATTGTGCATGCATGCAGTGCGTGAAATGGTGCCATTTTACATTGAGTACATTGGATATCTGGAAAAAAGCATGTATAGGTGATTCACTTTATGTAACGTCGTGCATATATCCAACAGAAAGGCAAGTCTTAAGTGGTTTTCACAAAAATGTGATCAGAGCTCCTCTCCACATGTTAGGATTTCAGGGGCCTTCTTTCTTCTACAAAACTTACTATTTAAGTTTTTCCACAATGAAACATTTTTCAAGTGTTTTTGTAAATAAATTAACGCTTTAAATTTTGGTATTTTCAGACCTGAAAGAACACTGAAATACTTTTTCCCCTCTTGCCACCCAAAAAAAACCTTCAGTTTTTTTCCAAGACAGGGTTTCAGTCTGCCGTGCAGGCTGAAGCGCAGTGGTGTGATCTCTGCTCACTGCAACTTCCACCCCCTGGATTCAAGCAATTCTCGTTCCTCAGTCTCCTGAGTAGCTGGGACCACAGCTGCCACCCGCCACCACGCCCAGCCAATTTTTCTGTATTTCTTAGTAGAGATGGGGTTTTACCATGTTGGCCAGGCTGATCTTAAACTACTGACCTCAGTCTGTCTCCCAGGCTGGAGTGCAGTGGCACGATCTCAGCTCACCGCAACCTCTGCCTCTTGGGTTCAAGCAATTCTCCTGTCTCGGCCTCCTGAGTAGCTGGGATTACAGGTGTGCGCCACCACGCCCAGCTAATTATTTTTATATTTTTTAATAGAGACGGGGTTTCGCCATATTAGTCAGGCTGGTCTCAAACTCCTGACCTTGTGATCCGCCTGCCTCGGCCTCCCAAAGTGCTGGGGTTACAGGCATGAGCCACCGTGCCCAGCTGTTTTCCACTTACTGTATACTTACATTTGCAAAAAGAGTAACCTGGGCAGACGTAGTCGCTCATGGCTGTAATCCCAGCACTTTGGGAGGCTGAAGCGAGAGGGTATCTTGAGCCCCGGAGTTTGAGGCTGCAGTGGGCTGTGATTGCGCCACTGCACTCCAGCCTGGACAACAGAGTGAGACACTGTCTCTAAAAAAAGAATAAATTTAGTTATTATACCTATGGCAAACAGAATTTAAGGTTTTTGTTTTTGTTTTTGTTTTTTGAAATAGTTTTGCCCTTGTTGCCCAGGCTGGGGTGCAATGGCACAGTCTCAGCTCAGTACAACCTCCGCCTCCTGGGTTCAAGTGATTATCCTGCCTCAGCCTCCCAAGTAGCTGGGACTACAGGCATGCACCACCACACCCAGCTAATTTTTTGTGTTAGTAGAGACGGGATTTCACTTGTTGGTCAGGCTGGTCTCAAACTCCTGAGTGATCCAACTGCCTTGGCCTCCCAAAGTGCTGGGATTACAGCCGTTAGCCACTGTTCCCGGCCTTAGGTTGAGTTTTACAAACTTTGGTTATACCTAAAGATGAAAGTGAAATAAACAAGATGAGTCAGAAGGTGGACAAAGGGAGCTTCTATAGGGAGTGGTGTATGTACAATGAAACCATAGATGTTAACATTTTAGCATATGTTCCAATAAATAAAAATAAGATACAGTCCCTTAAGTAATTCCCTTGTACACAATACATACCCATGTTCCTTGGTCTTTTTATGTTGTGTAATTGATGAATGTGGTTGTGATTGATCTTTGCTTACTGGTTTATGTGTCTGTCTAGAAGTGGAATTGTAGGAGCAAGATGATATATAGAGAGAGTGGTAGAAGGAGACTTTATAAATTTGTTTGTATCGATTAAGTTCCCTCTTAGAAATCTGTACTTCTTCTCTCCCATACTGTGTAAGAGTTGTCTAGTGGCCCAAACTTACATGTGAAAAGTTTACAATTTGTTAAAATCTCTAACATGTTTGAGAGTACAGAGATGTCAGAGTTTTCTCTCTTACTACTGATTACGGTTTCCCTTGGCTTCATATACTTTTGTCATTTCTGATGAATGACATATCATCTGCTTAGTTCATTTTTCCCTCTTAATTCTCTGTTTCTAAAGTTTGTTTGAAGGAGGATGGTCTTGTGTTACTGGAGGGGTTTGCTTGTTTCTTTGTTGGTCTCTGCTCAGGTGTACCTCTTGTCTGGTTCTGTTACTGTTCTTTGTTTGTGGCCCTGCCATGGCTTCCAGCGGATGAATGGTCCATAAAATGCATCATTTTCATTTTGGCCCTGGGCCTTTTTGGTTTTTGGGTACTTTTAGAAGTACCATGTCTTAAGTCTCTTTACTTTTGGGTTCCTATTCAGTTTATGTGAGGTTTCTATAATCTCATTTCACCTCTTCATGATGTTCCATACCTGCTTTAACTGTTTCCTTAAAATGTCTTCACTAACTCAGTAATAATTTTGAAAAGTTATTTTGTGTCTTTTCTTAACATTTAGAATCTAAAGTCTGTGTTAATCTCTGGTATTATGTGTAAGAGAAACTTTTGGAGTCCAAAAACCCCCTTCATCTCTCTAGCTTAGTTTTTTCTCTCTGAAGCATCACTGTTTTGAAGGTAGTATAAATAGATTTTAATGCGCCTTGCATGGTGAAGAGCCGATCTCAAAGGAAATTTTAATATCAGTGTGCCATCCGTTCTCCTTATTCCTCCTCCCGTCCATGAACTCTCCTTTTCTCCTGTTTTACTCAAGAAAACAGTAAAGAAGGAGGGTCTCTAGTCATATCTTTCGTCACCCACTCTTCTTGTCACTTCCTTCTCCCAACTTTTCTCCTTGAATGTCTGGTGTCTTCTGCCTTCCCTCTTTCCCTTTTGTCTGGCTAACATCTTTTATTTTTATTTTAATTTAGAGATAGCGTCTTGCCTTACTGCCCAGGCTAGAGTTCAGTGGCTCTGTCATAGCTCACTGCAGCCTCAAATTCCTGGACTCAGTGATCCTGGGCAAGTGATCCTCCCACCTCAGCCTCCTGAGTAGTGTATGCCACCTGGCTAATTTTAAAAGATATTATAGAGACAGGGTCTCGTTATCTTTCCCAGGCTGGTCTCAAACTTCTGGGCTCCAGCCATCTTCCCCGCCTCTGCTTCCCAAAGCACTGGAATTACAGATGTGAGCCACTTCGCTGACATGTTTTAGATCTGATTTTCAGCTTTAACATTATTTTTTTTTGAGACAGAGTCTCGCTCTGCCGCCCAGGCTGGAGTACAGTGGTGCGATCACCACTCACTGCAACCTCTGCCTCTTGAGTTCAAGCGATTCTCATACCTCAGCCTCCTGAGTAGCTGGGACTACAGGCATGTGCCACCACGCCTGGCTAAATTTTGTAGTTTTAGTAGAGATGGGATTTCACCATGTTGGCCCCGCTGGTCTCAAACTCTTAACCTCAGGTGGTCCGCCTGCCTTGGCCTTCCAAGGTGATGGGATTACAGGTGTGAGCCACTGTACCTCCTGGTCAACATTTTTAAGAACTTTCTGAACAATACTAATCGATACAGGGAAACCGGATGGTGGGCACAGGTGGGTGGGTTGAGGTGGTGGGACATGTTAATGATAAAGATATATACTTAGAAAATGTCTCACTTGAGAAAAATGTCTCAGAAGTATCATTTGTACTCATAAAAATCAGTCAATAGCTGAAGCAGTGGCTATGATGATGACCACACATATAAAACATGAGTTAGGTACAAACTCGTTTTCATCATACTTTCTAAATGTTAACTATAGCTGTTATGCTGGTTCATGATTGTTGCTTTATTTACACATCTTTTTGTGGCTTTTGACATTCATCTCTCTCTGGCTCAGTAAATGTTTATTGACTGAATTTTTTTTTTTTTTCTCGAAATGGAGTCTTGCTCTGTTGCCCAGGCTGGAGTGCAGTGATGCAATCTCCACTCACTTCAACCTCTCCCTCCCGGGTTCAAGCAATTCTCCTGCCTCAGCCTCTTGAGTAGCTGGCACACACCACAATGCCCGGCTAATTTTTTGTATTTTCAGTAGAGATGGAGTTTCACCATGTTGTCCTGGGTGGTCTTGAACTCCTGACCTCAAGTGATCTGCCTGCCTTGGCCTCCCAAAGTACTGGGATTACAGGTGTGAGCCACTGCTTCGGCTATTGACTGATTTTTATGAGTACAAATGATACTTCTGAGACATTTTTCTCAAGTGAGACATTTTCTAAGTATGTATCTTTATTATTATAAAACATTTCTTTTAAGAAGGTATTAATTCTTGGCACTGTGTTAATTTTTATGAATGCCTTTATACCTATCCAGGACCCCTCGTCCAGTCATTGTGGAACCCATGGAGCAGTTTGATGATGAAGATGGCTTGCCAGAGAAGCTGATGCAGAAAACTCAACAGTATCATAAGTAAGATTTTATTAATAGTTAATTTGTGTATGTACTATTAAGGGTATTCATTACATTTGTTTTCAAATATTGTTGGATTATGAGGTGTCTGTTTATTTATATAATCTGGGTAATAGAGTGGTCTAGTCTACATGGAATGCTAGTTTTTCTGTTTTTTTTTTTTTTTTTTGAGATACTGTCTTGCTCTGTTGCCCAGGCTGGAGTGCAGTGGTGTGATCTTGGCTCCCTGTAGTCTCTACGTCCCACATTCAGGTGATTCTTGTGCCTCAGACTCCCGAGTAGCTGGGATTACAGGCATGCACCACCATACCTAGCTAATAGTTTTCTTTTTTCATATGGATAAAACATACTAATTTTTTAAGAAATGTCTACTTTTGTAACTGGGGCAGGGTGGGTACTAGGACACTGTCAATAATATTTATGCCAGAAAAACAATGAAATCTAGATAACATGAAAATACTTTTTTTTTTTTTTTTGAGATGGAGTCTTACTCTTGTCACACAGGCTAGAGTGCAGTGGCATGAACTCAGCTCACTGCAACCTCCACCTCCCGGGTTCAAGCGATTCTCCTTCCTCAGCCTTCCAAGTAGCTGGGATTACAGGCATGTGCCACCACGCCCGACTAATTTTTTTGTGTTTTCAGTAGAGATGGGGTTTCATCATGTTGGTCAGGCTGGTCTCGAACTCCTGATCTTAGGTGATCTACCCGCTTTGGCCTCCCAAAGTGCTAGGATTACAGGCGTGAGCCACCACACCCAGCTGAAAATACTTCTTAAGTTTTATTTTATGCTTCAAGTCTATTGTAGGTTAAAAGGAGACTTTTGGTGTGCCAGGATGGAGCAGGATATTCCTAGTTTAATAACCTGGCACAGTGGAAAAACTTTTAGAGGTTGCAAAAAATAGCTCATTTTCAAAATGTTGTATGTTTATTCTTTTGCCCTTTCACTTAGAATAATACAAGTATATTTACATTAACTGCTTATGTGAGTGCATTCTAAGTTTATAAAGCTTTATTAAACATTTCAAATAGCTGTGCAACGAACACACCAAATAAAAGTTGTAGAATAGCAGTCCAAATGTTTCACAAGTATGGCCTCACAGTCCCATTCCCTAGATGGACTGCCTCCAGTTCTGTTCTCTGCCTGTCCCACCTCCCTTTCCCCTCCAATTACTTTACTTTTGTAGAGCGCATTATATTTTTAAAAATCAGGCACATACTTATTTATTTTATTTTTTTGCAGGGGAGGAATGAAGGGTTTTATTGAAAATGAAAGTACACTCTGCAGTGTGGGCCTGAGCATAGGGGCTCAAAGGCCCTGTTACAGAGTTTTTGTGAGTTTAAATACCCTCTACTTGGGGTATGCCCTATGTAAATGAAGAGGATGAAGTAAAGTTACAAAGTCATTTACTTGGTGTATGCCCTATGGAGAGGGTATTTCCTGTTATAGCTGAATTGTGAATTGGCCTTCTGTTCCCTGCTTCCAGACTCTATTTTCTTGCCTCATCTCCCCACTTAGAGTTGTGATCCTCATAAATCTTTATGGGAGGCAGAGGAACCAATGGTCTTTTTTTCTGTAACTGCTTCGTGCTGACATGGGTTGTAGTCTCTACCTATTGGGGATCACAGAACTCTCGCCCTGCTCCATCTAGTGGAGGCAGGGTAGCTTCTCGATGGCTAGGGGTGGTGTCTTCGCCTGGAACTGGCTGGAACCTTTGTTGCATGATCATCTGAAGCTTGATGGTCTCTCAAGGGTTCCAGTGGGTGCACAGTTCCAGAAGTGTGGAGGGACCCTTTTCATTTGTGAGACCATGAACCCAAAGTTCAAGGTCCCAAAGTTTTGTTGTAGTGTGGATGGCAAGGACAGTCTGTCTTTCTTTTTTTTGAGATGGAGTCTCACTCTGTTTTCCAGGCTGGAGTGCAGTGGCGTGATCTCAGCTCACTGCAGCCTCTGCCTCCCAGGTTCAAGCGATTCTCCTGCCTCAGCATCCCAAGAAGCTGAGAGTATAGGCGTGTGCCACCATGCCCAGCTAGTTTTTTTGTATTTTTAGTAGAGATGGAGTTTCACCATGTTAGCCAGGATGGGCTCAATCTCCTGACCTTGTGATCCGCCTTCCTTGGCCTCCCAGAGTGCTGGGATTGCAGGCCTGAGCCACCATGCCCGGTGACTTTCTTTGATGTTTCCAGAAGATTCAAACCATAAAACACTTTCTTAGGGCTGGGCATGGTGGCTCATATATGTAATCCTAGCACTTTGGGAGGCCAAGGCAGGTGGATCACAAGGTCAGGAGTTTGAGACCAGCCTGACCAACGTGGTGAAACACTGTCTCTACTAAAATTACAAAAATTAGTCGGGCATGGTGACATGCACCTGTAATCCCAGCTACTCAGGAGGCTGAGGCAGGAGAATTGCTTGAACCAGGAGGCAGAGGTTGTGGTGAGCCGAGATCGCGCCACCACACTCCAGCCTGGATGACAGTGAGACTCCGTCTCAAAAAAATAAAAGCTTTCTTTACCCTTTTGCCAACATGCCAGGCTTCTGGGTTCTGTCTCCCTGAGCGGTCGTAGTGAACCTGCTTGACTTCCTCCTGGCTGGCTCACCAAAATATGTTAACAGTGGAGAGTGTCCAAGTTCTTGGCGTCTTGAACAAAGAATTGGACAAAATGCCCAAACAAAGCAAGGAAGGAATAAAGGGTTTTATTGAAAATGAAAGTAGCACTCCACAGTCTGGGAACAGGCCTAAGCATAGGGACTCAAAGGCCTACTTATTTATTTTTTGAGAGTGTCACTTTGTTACCCAGGCTGGAGTGCAGTGGTGCAGTCTCAGCTTACTTCAACCTCCATCTCCCAAGTTCAAGTGATTCTCGTCCCTCACCCTCCTGAGTAGCTGGGATTACAGGCCTGCGCCACCACACCCAGCTAATTTTTGTATTTTTAGTAGAGATGGGGTTTCACTATGTTGGCCAGGCTGGACTCGGAACTGCTGACCTCAGGTGATCCACCTGTCTTGGCCTCCCAAGGTGCTGGGATTACAGGTGTAAGCCACTGCGCCCGGCCCACTTATTTATTCCATAAATAAAACTTGGAGTGCCTTTGTGTTAGCCACTGTTCTAGGTGTTGGCAGTGTAAGTCAAGCAGGTAGTTGGATTTATACCTAGGATTTAGAGCAACCATCCTGCCTGAATTTATGAACATGATATTTTAAAGTCAAAACACCAAACCTTGAACCTTTGGAGTTCTCTAGTGTGTAGAGATTTGGAAGATCAGAACAAATCAATAACGACTGAGAAGGGAGCATTCATTCATTCATTGGAATGGCGGGAAGAGCCATCAGACTGTGTCCTGGAAGCAAGGGAGGAGAGTATTTCAGGGAGGAAGCATTAGCATTAGCATTGATTATAATTCATATCTATTCTTTTTCTTCTGGAGACGGAGTTTCACTCTTGTTGCCCAGGCTGGAGTGCAATGGCACGATCTTGGCTCACTGCAACCTCTGCCTCCCAGGTTCAAGCAATTCTCCTGCCTCAGCCTCCCTAGTAGCTGGGATTATAGGCATGCGCCACCACGCCCAGCTAATTTTGTATTTTTAGTAGAGACGAGGTTTCTCCATGTTGGTCAGGCTGGTCTCGAACTGCCGACCTCAGGTGATCCACCCGCCTCGGCCTCCCAAAGTGCTGGGATTACAGGCATGAGCCACCGCGCCTGGCTTTTTTTTTTTTTTTTTTTAGATGGAGTTTCGCTCTTGTTGCATAGGCTGGAGTGCAGTGGCGCGATCTAGGCTCACTGCAACCTCCGCCTCCCAGGTTCAAGTGATTCTCCTGCTTCAGCCTCTCAAGTAGCTGAGACTACAGGCACACGCCACCATGCTCAACTAATTTTTGTGTTTTCAGTAGAGACAGAGTTTCACTGTGTTGGCCAGGTTGGTCTTGAACTCCTGACCTTGTGATCCGCCCGCGTCGGCCTCCCAAAGTGCTGGGATTACAGGTGAGAGCCACCACACCCAGCCTAATTAATATCTATTCTTACATCCTTTACAATGCGATTTCTCTCTTTTTTTTTTTGAGACAGGGTCTGGCCCTGTTGCCCAGACTGCAGTGTAGTGGTGTGATCATGGCTCACTGCAGCCTCTACCTCCTGGTCTCAAGTGATTCTTCCACCTCAGTACCCCCTAAGTAGCTGGGACTACAGATGTGGGCCACCATGCCCATCTAATTTTTAAATTTTTTTGTAAAGACAGAGTTTCGTCATGTTGCTCAGGGTGGTCTAGAACTCCCGGGCTCAAGTGATCTGCCCGCATTGGCCTCTCAAACTGTTGGATTTACAGGTGTGAGGCACTGCACCTGGCCACAATGCCATTTTTTAAAGGGTTCCTGTGATTTCCTCTTCACTTAACTTTTTCCTTGTTATAGGTCACCATTGCAAATTTGAAATAAAGCATACGTTTGGATTTGGGAGTTAGAGAACTAGAAGTACAAGGTTGTTACAAGAGTAGACTTTATAGACAACATTTGTTTATATAGTTAATGATCTTAGCTAACCTTAATAAGAGCTAGTTATGACTGGGTATAGTGGCTCACGCCTGTAATCCCAGCACTTTGGGAGGCCGAGGTGGGTGGATCACCTGCGGTCAGGAGTTCGAGACTAACCTGGCCAACATGGTAAAACCCTGTCTCTACTAAGAATACAAAAATTAGTCTGACGCAGTGGCACACACCTGTAATCCCAGCTATTTGGGAGGCTGAGGCAGGAGAATCGCTTGAATCCGGGAGGTGGAGCCGAGATTGCGCCACTGCACTCCAGCCTGGGCGACTGGAGCGAGACTTTCTCAAAAAAAAAAAAAGAGCTAGTTCTGTTCCCAATTTTTTTACTAAAGATTTATTCACAGAAGAAAATGCTCACAGGGCCTGGTGCAGTGCCTCATGCCTGTAATCCCTGCACTTTGGGAGGCCAAAGCGGGTGGGTCACCTGAGATCAGGAGTTGGAGTCCTGCCTGGCCAACATGGTGAAACCCCATATCTACTAAAAATACAAAAAATTAGCTGGGTATGGTGTCAAGAGCCTGTAATCCCAGCTATTTGGGAGGCTGAGGCAGGAGAATCACTTGAACCCGGGAGGCGGAGGTTTCAGTGAGCTGAGATCGTGCCATTGCATTCCAGCCTGGGCGACATGTTTCAAAAAAAAAAAAAAAGAAAAAGAAAATGCTCACAAAGCATAAGAGCCAAGATTCAAATTCACTTATAACTTCAAAAAAGCATGTTATTTCAGTGTTTTTTTTCCTGTGGGAGAAAATAAATAATTAAAAAATATAGTCAATCTTTGACTTAGGAACCGCTTGACCAATAAACAATTCTTTTAGAAAAATTTGTGGTTGGTAGATCCTCCCACTCTTTCGCACTTTCTAGTCGGTGCTTTAAAAAGAAGAAAATCCAAGTAGGTTTTTCAGATATGGAGTCCCTAGGATCATGGCTGTCTTTGATTTTTCTTCATATGCTTCTGAATATCTTTCTCTCTCTTGTTATTACATCTTTCCCTCTGTGACAGCCTTCTCTCTCTCTCTCTCCCAGATTTGTCATACCCACCCCTCCTCACCTCCCTACCCCAAAATAGAAGTTAAAATTTACACCGGGCGCGGTGGCTCAAGCCTGTAATCCCAGCACTTTGGGAGGCCGAGACGGGCGGATCATGAGGTCAGGATATCAAGACCATCCTGGCTAACACGGTGAAACCCCATCTCTACTAAAAATACAAAAAACTAGCCGGGCTAAGTGGCGGGTGCCTGTAGTCCCAGCTACTCGGGAGACTGAGGCAGGAGAATGGCGGGAACGCGAGAGGAGGAGCTTGCAGTGAACTGAGATCCGACCACTGCACTCTAGCCTGGGTGACAGAGCAAGACTCTGTCTCAAAAAAAATAAAATAAAACAAAATAAAATAAAATTGACATTTGTAGCAAGGTATCTATGCTTTTATTCATGGAGTGGGGATTGTTTTCCCATCAGTACTTTTTAATAGAGGCTGTTATAGGCGAGACTAGTTGAAGACTTTTCTGCAAAAATTTCTTGAAAGTTGACTGGGTGTGGTGGCTCCCACCTGTAGTCCTAGCACTTTGGGAGGCAGAAGCATTGCTTCCAGGAGTTTGAGACCAGCCTGGGCAACATAGTGGTACCTCATCTCTACAAAAAATGAAAAAATTAGCTGGTCATGTTGGCACACCCCTGTAGTCCTAGGTACTCTGCAGCCTCAGGTGGGAGGATTGGTTGAGCCTGGGAGGTTGATTCGGCAGTGAGCCTTTTTTTTTTTAAAGATGGAGTCTTGCTCTTGTTGCCCAGGCTGGAGTGCAGTGGCACAGTTTCAGCGTACTGCAACCTCTGCCTCCTGGGTTTCAAGCGATTCTCCTGCCTTAGCCTTGCAAGTAGCTGGGATTTACAGGTGCCCGCCATCATGCCCAGCTAATTTTTGTAATTTTAGTAGAGATGGGATTTCGCCATGTTGGCCAGGCTGGTCTTGAACTCCTGGCATTGTGATCCGCCTACCTCAGCCTCCGAAAGTGCTGGGATTACAAGCGTGAGCTACCATTCCCGGTCTCGGCAGTGAGTCTTAATTGTGCCACTACACTCCAGCCTGTGAAGCTGAGCAAGACCCTGTCTCACAAAAACCCAAAGCAACACCATCACCAACAAGAATTCGTAAAAGTGAAATTAAGTCTGGGCACGGTGGCTCACACCTATAATCCCAGCACTTTGGGAGGCTGAGATGGGTAGATCACAGCGTCAGGAGTTCAAGACCAGCCTGGCCAACATAATGTGAAACCCTGTCTCACTAAAAAAATTCAAAAACTAAGCCAGGCATGGTGGCAGGTGCCTGTAATCCCTGCTACTTGGGAGATTGAGGCAGGAGAATCACCTGAACCTGGGAGTCGGAGGTTTCAGTGAGCCGAGATTATACCATTGCACTCCAGCCCAGGCAATACTACGAGACTCTGTCTCAAAAAAAAAAAAGTGAAAAAAAAATTGGGGACCAGGTGTGGTGTCTTGCACCTGTAATTTTGACACTTTTGGAGGCTGAGGAATGAGGATTACTTGAGGCCAGAAGTTTGAGATCAGTCATATTTTTTATATGTCTCTAAAATAAATATTTACATATATATATATGAAAAAAATAAAGACTTTCAAATACATTCATAGCCCTTTATTTGGTAATTTGTTAATTTATTCAAGAAATGTATATTAAATGTATGTACTGTACTCTAGGTACTTGAGGCACAGCATTTATTTATTTATTTATTTATTTATTTATTTATTTTGAAACGGAGTCTTGCTCAGTCACCCAGGCTGGAGTGCAGTGGTGCGATCTCGGCTCACTGCAAGCTCCGCCTCCCGGGTTCACGCCGTTCTCTTGCCTCAGCCTCCTGAGTAGCTGGGACTACAGGCACCCGCCCACCATGCCCAGCTAATTTTTTTTGTATGTTTAGTAGAGACGGGGTTTTACTGTTTTAGCTAGGATGGTCTCAAATCTCCTGACCTCGTGGTCTATCTGCCTCGGCCTCCCAAAGTGCTGGGATTACAGGCATGAGCCACCGCGCCCGGCCGAAGTGGCATTTAACAGCCACATTTGGTGTCGTCAGTTGAGTTTATAGTCTTTAAAGGGAAAGAAGTATTAAATAATTAACTACAATTGTAGTAAGTTAGGCCTTAATTTTTGGGGCCTACCCAATTAATTGGCACGTAACACTCAATAAAATCTAGCTGGTTTTGCTAGTAAAAACACCTGATCCAGACAGTTAATTCATATGTTCCAGACTTTCCTTTGTAAAGTATTTCTTTTTTTTTTTTTTCTTGAGATGGAGTCTCACTGTCTCCCAGGCTGGAGTGCAATGGCGCGATCTCTGCTCACTGCAAACTCCGCCTCCCGGGTTCACACCATTCTCCTGCCTCAGCCTTCCAAGTAGCTGGGACTACAGGCGCCCGCCACCGCGCCTGGCTAATTTTTTTGTATTTTTAGTAGAGACAGGGTTTCACCGTTAGCCAGGATGGTCTCGGTCACGTGACTTCGTGATCTGCCAGCCTTGGCCTCCCAAAGTGCTGGGATTACAGGCGTGAGCCACTGTGCCCGGCCTGTAAAATATTTCATTGACTGAAGACCAGAAAATGAAACCTCCAAAAGCAGAAATTTTGCAGGTAATAGGATAATGCAGGTTGTAGCATCAGATTATGCAAGTTTGAATCATTGTTCCATTATTAGTTGAACATTCTTGGGCAGTTTCTTAAACTCAGGCCTGTAATCACAATATTGTCACGAGGTAATTCTTGTAGACACGGTGTCTCACACGGTGTCTTGGACATTGTAAGTGCTTGTTGTTCTCATTTGTTGTTGTTTTACCTTTTAAGCATACATTTCTGTATGTTTTAATGTTAATTTAGGGAAAGAGAACAACCGCCACGTTTTGCTCAGCCTGGGACATTTGAATTTGAGTATGCATCTCGATGGAAGGCTCTTGATGAAATGGAAAAGCAGCAGCGTGAACAGGTTGATAGAAACATCAGAGAAGCCAAAGAGAAACTGGAGGCAGAAATGGAAGCAGCTAGGCATGAACACCAATTAATGCTAATGAGGCAAGGTAAGCATGGATTTTCATGTAGATGTGGTGTGATTTTTTTTTTCCCCTTAAGTGTGTGTACCGTTCATGTACTACTGTGTAAAGTGCCATTTAGGAGTTTAGAGATAAAGTTGGAACTTAACATATTAGGTGTGAAAGTCTCCCTTTTCCCAGATAACTTCCCTTAAAAAAAACACACAACTTATTAAAAGTTAGTTTTACTTGCTGGGCGCGGTGGCTCACGCCTGTAATCCCAGCACTTTGGAGGCTGAGGCGGGCGGATCACCTGAGGTCGAGAGTTTGAGACCAGCCTGATGAACATAGAGAAACCCTGTCTCTACTCAAAATACAAAATTAGCCAGTTGTGGTTGTGCGCACCTGTAATCCCAGCTAGTTGGGAGGCTGAGGCAGGAGAATCGCTTGAACCTGGGAGGCGGAGGTTTCAGTGAGCTGAGATCACATCATTGTACTTCAGCCTGGGCCACAAGAGCGAAACTCTGTCTCAAAAAGAAAAAAAGTTAAAAAGTTAGTTTTACTTATGCAAGTAGTATTATTGGAGGTAATTTGAGGATATTAAATTGTGCCAGTACCAAATACATGATTCTCTTGGCAAACAGAAACATAGCAGGCAAATTTTGGTAGGTAGACATGGCACATACAGGATTTTTTGTTTGATGAGAAGAAGAATTTGGACAAATGCTGGCTATTTAAGATTATTATTACATGTTTGAAAGAGTACAGGTGGATAATCTGGTAGAGATGAAAAGGATTCATGTGTACAGATGGATATGGGGATTTAGGAAAAGTTAGTAATTGGCAAGAATATTTGAGATGGAGTCTTGCTCTGTTGCTCAGACTGGAGTGCAATGGCACGATAACGTCTCGCTGCAACCTCCACCTCCTGGGTTCAAGCAATTCTCCTGCCTCAGTCTTCTGAGTAGCTGGGATTACAGGCACACACCACAGTGCCCATCTAATATTTTTGTATTTACCTTCTCTTGACTGTCCGCAGAGATCAAGGTACCACAGCTGCCTGCCTGAATTTCTGCAGCCGCATTCCTGCTGAACATTTCTGCCATTTAATCTTGGCTTTCTTTAAACCATTCTGTATACTAGATTCATTATTTTTTTTAGCAGGTGAAAATTTGATGATTTTTCTCTAAATCCTTTTGGGTAAATTCTCATTTACTTTAGAATGAAGTGTAGGTTTTTTTTTTTTCCTGGCACGTGTGTTCTAGTATTTCATACATCACGATTCAGTAAATGTTTATTGAGCAGTTATGATCAAGTCATTGAGTAACTGTGCTGATGCCACATATGTTAAAACAAAATCGAGCCCAGCAAACAGTAGAAACTAGTCAGGTGGTTTGATTTAATTTGGACCCTAAGCTTGGTAGTTCTGTATGTTCACTCTTCTAACAAAATTGAGTTCATTTATATCTTATAGTAGATTTAAAGGTAAACTGTCATTAGCTGGATGTGGTGATGGGTGCCTGTGATCTAAGCTACATGGGAGGCAGAGAATTACTTGAACCCAGGAGGTGGAGGTTGCAGTGAGCCGAGATCACGCCACTGTACTCTGGCCTGGGCGACAGAGCGAGACTCCAGGATAACTGACTCCAAGATAAACTGTCTTTTATTTTGTGGAAAATTTGCAAGTTGTTATTTGCGATAAAGGTACTGAATCATTCATTAGCTGTTAGAGCTGGTAGAGAGAATTTTTTTTTTTTTTTTTTTTTTTTTGGATACAGAATCTCACTCTGTCGCCCAGCCTGGAGTGCAGTGTCATGATCTTGGCACACTGCAACCTCCGCCTCCCGTGTTGAAGCAATTCTTGTGCCTCAGCTTCCCTAGTATCTAGGACTACAGGCACGTGCCACCACGCCCGGATAATTTTTTTTGCTTTTTTTGAATTTGAGATGGAGTCTCACTTTTGTCGCCCAGGCTGGAATGCATTGGTGTGATCTTAGCTCACTGCAACCTCCACCTCCTGGGTACAAGCGATCCTCCTGCCTCAGCCTCCTAAGTGGCTGGGATTACAAGTGTGTGCTTCCACACTCAGCTAATTTTTTGTGTTTTTAGTAGAGATGGGGTTTTACCATGTTGTCCACGAGTTCAAGGCTGCTCTTGAACTCGTGACCTCAGGTGATCTGCCCGCCTCAGCCTCCCAAAGCGCTGAGATTGCAGGCATGAGCCACCGTGCCTGGCCAGTTTTTTTTGTATTTTTGGTAGAGATGGGATTTCTCCATGTTGACCAAGCCGGTCTTGAAATCCTAGCCTCAAGTGATCTACCCACCTTGGCCTCCCATAGTGCTGGGATTACAGATATGAGCCACCATGCCTGGCCAAGAGATCTTAAAGTTTGTCCAGTCCAGTGGTTTTGAAATTTTATTACACATTAGAATCATACGGAAATTTCCTGGGCTCTGTGGTTGCCCTAGCCCTTCTGTTCAATGTGAATTGTTTTCTCTTAGCCTGCTAGGCGCTTCTCTCCCGTTCTGTTTCCCACCTATCTACAGTCGTGCCCTAGTTAGGAAATAATGTTGATTAGATATGGAAGCATCTGTACTAAAGATTTGTGTTGATGCTACAGACAAACAATGGTATAACATTCACTAATTTAGCACATCTTTAATGTCAGTTACGGGAGACACATCTGAGGTACGGAGGATATATTGATGGCAAAGAACATTTCCTTAGACTTCAGTTTTTTCTTGAGCTCTTAGAAAACTTTGCCTGAAGGTATTTTGATGTTTGAAGTAGAGTAATTTTGCAGTTATTTCCCATGAGTTTAAGTTTTGTTGTTTATTGTGTGTTCATTTAAAGCCCCTGTTAACAATATCTTAGTTTATAATATTAGAAAATCATATTGCCTGTTGCATCCTACTCCCTGCTTCTGGGTTCACTTATGCCGAAGTACTTGTACTTATTTCATCAAAAGTCTGCAGTTGGTAAATTTCAGTTTTAATTTGTTTAAAATTTAAAAAGTTACAACTTCCTCCCATTTGTTCTACAATTTTGTATTTCTTTTTTTTTTTTTTTCCCTTTTTTTGAGACAGACTCTTTCTCTGTTGCCCAAGCTGGAGTGCAGTGGTGCAACCTCAGCTCACTGTAACCTACCTCTTACCTTCTGGGTTTAAGCGATTCTCCTGCCTCAGCCTCCCAAGTAGCTAGGATTACAGATGCATGCCACCACGCCCGGCTAATTTTGTATTTTTAGTAGAGATGGGGTTTCACCATGTTGGTCAAGCTGGTTTCGAACTCCCGACCTCAAGTGATCTACCCACCTCGGCCTCCCACAGTGCTGGGATTACAGGCGTGAGGCACGGTACCCGGCCTACAATTTTATACTTCATCCAGCATTTCTAAGGATGCATTCAGGTTGAGGAGAGACTGTAATTAATATAAGTTGTGTGGTTCTGCAGAAACATGTATCATGACATATCATGGAAGGAGAAATCTCACACAATACAAAAAACTGTCCCCCTGTTCACTACCTTCTGCTTTTTTGTAGGAATCACTCTTCTGTATTTAAGTCTCTTTTGTGTCCTTTAATGAAAAAATTCTGCATATGTCATTAGATGTTTCTGTGTATTTGTAAGCAAAAAACCCAAAAATCTTAACAACAAAACAAACTGGCTGGGCACAGTGTCTCATGCCTGTAATTCTAGCACTTTGGGAAGCTGAGGTGGGAGGATTGCTTGAGTCCAGCAGTTCAAGACTAACCTCAGCAACATAGTGAGACCTCATCTCTACCAAAAGTACAAAAATTAGCCGGACCTGGTGGCATGTGTCTGTAGTTACAGCTACCTGGGAAGGCTTAGGTGGGAGGATCGCTTGAGGCTGTAGTGAGCTGTAATTATGCCACCGTACTCCAGCCTGGGTGATAGAACGAGTCCTTGTCTCAAAAAAAAAAGAAAAAACTGTTTACCTTTTCTGTACCTTTTTTACTTTCTACATGAATATATATGTAAATACCTGCCTTATATTTTTAATGGCCGTATGATATTCTTTTATATGGGTATAGTTTGGTTCATCCTCTTTTGGTAACAATTTCTCTTTTCAGTTTGTTTTTAAAAGCAGTGCTGCAAAGAATATATACGCATGTATCAGAAAATTTTTGCAAATGTTGGTTTTTTTTTTTTTTTGAGATGGTGTTTCACTCTTGTTGCCCAGGCTGGAGTGCAGTGGCGTGATCTCAGCTCACTACGTCCTCCACCTCCCAAGTTCAAGTGATTCTCCTGCCTTAGCCTCCTGAGTAGCTGGGATTATAGGCATGTTGGCACATGCCTGGCTAATTTTGTATTTTTAGTAGAGACAGGGTTTCTCCATGTTGATCAGGCTGGTCTCGAACTCCCGACCTCAAGTGATCCACCATCCTCAGCCTCCCAAAGTGTTGGGATTACAGGCGTGAGCCACCACACCGAGCTGTAAATGTTGATTCTTATTGAACACATCGGTACCTTATAATAATAGTTGTATCATTTATACTTTACTGATAATTATTTAGTCCTTTCTAGATTCAACTCCCATTACATTAAAAAATTTTTTTCTTTGAGATGGAGTCTCACTCTGTTTGCCAGGCTGGTGTTCAGTGGCACAGTCTAAGCTCACTACAACCTCCGGCTCCCAGGTTCAAATGATTCTCCTCCCTCAGGCATGAGCCACCATACCCGGCTAATTTTTGTGTTTTTAGTAGAGGCGGGGTTCACCATGTTGGCCAGGCTGGTCTCAAACTCTTGGCCTCAAGTGATCCGCCTGTCTCAGCCTCCCAAAGTGTCAAGATTATAGGAGTGAGCCACTGTGCCTGGCTCCATTACATTTTTTTTTAACTTTATTTATTTATTTATCTGCTTGTTTGTTTATTTATTTATTTAGAGACGGAGTCTCGCTCTGTTGCCCAGGCTTAGAGACAGAGTCTCGCTCTGTTGCCCAGGCTGGAGTGCAGTGGCGCAATGTCTGCTTACTGCAACCTCTGTCTCCGTGTTTCAAGTGATTCTCCTGCCTCAACCTCTTGAGTAACTGGGATTACAGTCGTGTTCCACCACACTCGGCTAATTTTTTTATTAGTAGTAGAGACGGTGTTTCACCATGTTGGTCAGGCTGATCTTGAACTCCTGACCTCGTGATCTGCCCGCCTGAGCCTCCCAAAGTGCTGGGATTACAGGTGTGAGCTACTTGGGTAGCTGAGGCGGGATAATCGCTTGAACCAGGGAGTCAGAGGTTGCAGTGAGCAGAGATCGCACCACTGCATCCATCCTGGCGACAGAATGAGACTCCGTCTCAAAAAAACCCCATAAAAACAAAACAAACAAAATAAAGCAAATATGTTTATGTGAGCCCTTCTTAAAGAAATCAAGAGAGGATAAACTTTAGACAGGTGAAGAACAGAACAGTCATGCCTGAACCTACTTGAGATATTAAGATTTAAATACATATGAGGTTTATGATTAAAGAATATTAATGCAGTCAGGAGATCGAGACCATCCTGGCTAACATGGTGAAACCCCATCTGTATTAAAAATACAAAAAATTAGCTGGGCCTGGTGGCACGCGCCTGCAGTCTGGAGGCTGAGGCAGGAGACTTGCTTGAACCCAGGAGGTGGAGCTTGCAGTAAGCCAAGATCACGCCACTGCACTCCAGCCAGGGTGACAGAGAGAGACTCCGTCTCAAAAAAAAAAAAAGAAAATTCAGTGTCATAAATCCAGACAGATCAGAGGTAAAATAAAAACTGGAAAAAAAAAAAAAAAAAAAAAAGAGACTGGTATTTTTAGAAAATAGAATTGTTAGAGCAGAAGTTATACATTCAGTTTTCATGACTTGTGCAATTTTAAATTGAGAAAACATTCTCACAGTCTAGCAAATCAAAATTTTAGTTTGTTTAAATTTCTTTGTTCTGTACCTGTATTTATGATACATTGAAATTATAGCATATAATTTCATGTAATTTTATCATTAAATTTGTTAGGACAGCATTTTAATTAATTAATTAATTAATTTGAGACAGTTTTGCTCTGTCAACCAGGCTGGATTGCGTTGGTGCAATCTCTGCTCACTGCAACCTGTGCCTCCCAGGTTCAAGCGATTCTTCTGCCTCAGCCTCCTTGAGTAGCTGGGACTACAGGCGTGTGCCACCATGCCCAGCTTATTTTTGTAGTTTTAGTGGAGACAGTGTTTTCCATGTTGGCCAGGCTGGTCTCAAACTCCTGACCTCAGGTGATCTACCCACCTCGGCCTCCCAAAGTGCTGGCATTACTTTTAGAGGCCGAGGCAGCCTCCCACTTTGATAAGCCACCATGCCCAGCCAGGAAAGCATTTCAAAGTGTTATTGGGTTTAGTAAGTAATAAGTAATACTGTAGATGATGCCTTCATGTCTGTGGATGGCTTTGTTTTATTTTATTAAGAAAAATTCCTGAGTGTAATTCCCTGGATCAAAAGATAAAGACATCTCTAGTTGGGCCAGGCACTGTGACTCACGCCTGTAATCCCACTTTGGGAGGCCGAGGCGGGTGGATCACAAGGTTACGAGTTTAAGACCAGCCTGGCTAAGATGGTGAAACCCCGTCTCTACTAAAAATACAAAAATTAGCTGGGTGCCGTGGCGGGCGCCTGTAGTCCCAGCTACTCGGGAGGCTGAGGCAGGAGAATTGCTTGAACCCGGTAGGCAGAGGTTGCAGTGAGCCGAGACCTCGCCATTGCACTTCAGCCCGGGCAACAAAGCGAGACTCCATCTCAGAAAAAAAAGAAAAAAAAAGATATCTCTAGTTATGTACTTTTTACAGTTTTTTCCACTAGAAAGATATGATCATGGCAATGTACAGATGTATAAGCTTTAGTGAAATTTTAGGAACTTTGGGTATTAGGAGCTTTAAAAAATATATAATTTATTAAGCATAAAATGCTAGTTTTAAGTTTATAGTTCTTTTAAGTATTAGGTGATTGTGCTTATTTGAGAATTTGATTGTTGGAGCCTTTGAGCTAACTATACCAGTGTTAACGGTTAAGGTAATAAGGTCTGAGAGGTTAAAAGCAGCTTTGTTAAATTGCATAGCCTGTCAGTCCTGGCTATTTGGGAGACTGAGGTGGGAAGATGGCTTGAGCCCAGGAGTTTGAGGCTAGCTCTGATTACAGGCGTGCGCCACCACGCGCAGCTGATTTTTGTGTTTTTAGTAGAGATGGGATTTCTCCATGTTGGTCAGGCTGGCCTCGAACTCTCGACCTCAGGTGATCCGCCTGCCTCAGCCTTCCAAAGTGCTGGAATTACAGATGTGAGCCACTGCACCCTATCAGATATTTGAGTAATTCTAATGAGCATTTAACGTTAAGAACTTACGTTATAAAGATTCAAAATAATTGCAGTCATGTTTAACATTTTTTAAGATAAAAATTAAGTGTTTTCTCTATGGTCCTATTATGAGAACTACCTGGGCCCTGTCTCATATACCAAAACAGACTTTTCTTAGCAACATCCCCAAATACATGTTTTTAAGTTTTCCAGTTGAGTCTGATCAACTAGGTTTGGCAGACTTGTTTGAAAGAGCTTTGGAATAAGGAGAGGTTTGGCCTGGCATCCCAGTCGAATCATGTAATAGCTGGGGCAACTTTGTAACCTATCTGAATCCTTTTTTTTTTTTTCCGTAATTTATAAATGTCTGTTTTTAATCTGTAAAATGGGGATAACAGTATTTACCTTGTTATGGTTATGATGCGTGTCTTGCTGTTGTTATGAAGTTTGGGTTATTGGTACCTTAGATTAACTTTAGCTGTAGTATTATGTGTCAACTCTTGAGTATAGGAATTTGTTAAGAAACATTCAATTGAGGTAATTTGTTCACTTTAGACATTTCAGATATAAAGAGAAAAGGAAAATAAAAGCAGCCAGTAATTGTGCCATCCAGAGTATTTTAACATTTTATTATTTTAAAACATATGCATGGATACATACATAATTTTGTACAAAATGACAGGCAAAGATTTTTAGCTTTGGAGATTTTTAACGTGGAAAGTTTATACACTACTTTTCAGATGTGCAATACAAATGTACTTCTCATTATCTTACTCTGGAACCCCCCTATTCTTGATAAGGCAGGGATTGGCGATGTTGAAAATGCTTTTTTGTTGTTGAAAAGTCTTGTTTCTGTCAGCATTTATCTTTGCTTTCTTCTTTGAAGAATTCTCTCCTCACTCCTCTTCTTCATAAGACATTGGTGTAGTGAGGGAGGAATTTCATGCTAATTGTGTTGCGAGGGAGGTTCCTTGGGTTTTATGTCATGATTCATGTTTTTCTGGTCTGGTTCTCAAGTGCTCTCTGCGGTGTCTGTGAAGGCATGTGTTTGGGCTTTGCATTTGCTGCTGAAAACAATTACAATTTGTTACTGTATTTTATTTTAGAGACAGTTCTACTATGCAACCCAGGCTGGAGTGCAGTGGCGCAATCTTGGCTCACTGCAACCTCCGCCTCCCATATTCAAGTGATTCTTGTGTCTCAACCTCCTACGTAGCTGGACTTACAGGTGTGCACCTCCATACCCAGCTAATTTTTGTATTTTTAGTAGAGATGGGGTTTCGCCATGTTGGCCAGGCTGGTCTCGAACTCCCAACCTCAGGTGATCCGCCTGCCTTGGCCTCCCAAAATGTTGAGATTACAGTCGTGAGGCACCACACTTGGCCCTAATTTTTGTATTTTTTGTAGACAGAGTTTCACCATGTTACTCAGGCTGGTCTCGAACTCCTTGGCCGAAGTGATCCGCCTGCCTCGGCCTTCCAAAGTGCTGAAATTACAGGCACAAGCCAGCCTACCTATTTTAATTTATTGACATAAAGATGATTTTTTTTTTTTTTTTTTTTTTTTTAGACGGGGTGTCTGTCTTTTTGCCCCGGGGGTTGGTTCCTTGGCCGGGCGATCCGCCGCCCTTGCCCGGCCTCTCCAAAGGCTGGAAATTACAGGCACAAGCCAGCCTACTCTATTTTAATTTATTGACAGCAAACATGATTTTTTTTTTTTTTTTTTTTTTTTTTGAGACGGAGTCTGGCTCTGTTGCCCAGGCTGTAGTGTAGTGGCTGGATCTCGGCTCACTGCAAGCTCCGCCTCCCGGGTTTATGCCATTCTCCTGCCTCAGCCTCTCAAGTAGCTGGGACTACAGGCGCCCGCCACCACGCCCGGCTAGTTTTTTCGTATTTTTTAGTAGAGACAGGGTTTCGCCGTGTTAGCCAGGATGGTCTTGATCTCCTGACTTTGTGATCCGCCCATCTCAGCCTCCCAAAGTGCTGGGATTACAGGCTTGAATCACCGCGCCCGGCCAAAGATGAATTTTTATTTATTTGTTTGTTTTTTTTTTTTTTTTTTTGAGGTAGAGTCATCTCACTCTGTTGCCCACCTGGGCTTCCCAAAGTGTTGGGATTAAAAGGTGTGAGCCACTGTGCCCAGCCAAGATGAGTTTATTAAGCTTTTTTCCCCCAACAAGAATAAACTCGTTTTTGAGATGGAGTCTTCCCCTGTCATTCAGACTGGAGTGCAGTGGCACAATCTCGACTCATTACATCCTCTACCTCCCGGGTTCAAGAGATTCTCCTGCCTCAGCCTCCTGAGTAGCTGGGACTACAGGTGCGTGCCACCATGCCCAGCTAATTTTTGTAGTTTTGGTAGAGTTGGGGTTTTGCTTTGTTGGCCAGGCTGGTCTCGAACTCCTGGCCTCGAGTAATCCACCTGCCTTGGCCTCCCAAGGTACTGGGATTATAGGCGTGGGCCACCACACCTGGCCAAGAATGAACTTAAATACTCTTATATATACATGAAGAAACATGCTCAGAAAGGATATTTATTTGATTAATTACCCAGCTTATAATTTATTATAAAATGAGTAATATACCAATATATTGCCAGTGGTAGAGAACTTCTGTGCTTATTTGTATAAAAATATGGAAAGGGAAACTAAAAATATTAATGTGCAGTCATTATTTTATAGATCTAATGAGGCGTCAAGAAGAACTCAGACGCTTGGAAGAACTCAGAAACCAAGAGTTGCAAAAACGGAAGCAAATACAACTAAGGTAAAAGAAGATCATTGTAAGAAACATGAATTGTATGTCTTACTAATAAAAACTCCCCACCACCTGTTACAAGTTGTATAAGTTGAGTATCATGGGAAAAATAGAAAAATTGTCCATTTTAACCACATACAGTGAGTTACTTCGCAATGCAGCATAATTATTTGCTATTGTTTGTGTTTTTTAACTGGCTAAGGGCACTTTGAATGCGAACACTTTGAAGTTAAACAAGGGTTTTAGGTATTATTATATGTAATTTCTTGTAAGAATATGCTGTGAATATCGATTTTTCCAGAGATGGATATATTTGCATCGCTCTTATTTCGTTATGCGTATAACTCTACTATGAATATCTTTATGTAACTTTGTGCTTCTGATAATGTTTAAACAAGATTTCTGAGGCTAGGGGCAGTAGCTTATGCCTGTAATTCCAGCACTTTGGGAGGCTGAGTTGGGCAGATCACATGAGGTCAGGAGTTCGAGACCAGCCTGGCCAACATGGTGAAACCCTGTCTCTACTAAAACTAAAAGATTAGCTGGCTGTGGTGGCACGCGCCTATAATCCCAGCTACTTGGGAGGTTGAGGCAGGAGAATCGCATGAACCCGGGAGGCGGAGGTTGCGGTGTTCTGAGATCTTGCCATTGCACTCCAGCCTGGGCTACAGAGCGAGACTCCATCTCAAAAAAAAAAAAAAAAAAAAAAGATTTCCGGAAGTTGACTCCGTGTTAAAAAGGGTTATGGGAATTTAAAATCTCAGTACAAAATAGACAATCGTGATGGTTAGCTTGAAATCTTTTAGGTTTAAGTAAGGACGTTTGGGAGAGTGGTTAATGCAAGATGTATAAGCCCACATTGATAGCTCACCTTGTGCCTGTGGTATTTAATTGCAAAATATAATGGTATAAACATTACTCTTCAAAGGTTCAAAAATCATACTAGTTAGGAAATACTGTGAACAAAGCTATGATAGTTAAAGCAAATGTAGAAATCTGTTTTTGAAAATAGTATTTGTTTTAAAAATATAAACTGCTTGTGGTAAGAAAATAAGGTGTTCAGCTGAGTGCGGTGGCTCATGCCTGTAATCCTAGCGCTTTGGGAGGCTGAGACGGGCAGATCACGAGGTCAGGAAGTTGAGACCATCCTGGCTAACACAGTGAAACCCTGTCTCTACTAAAAATACAAAAAATTAGCCGGAAATTGTGGCGGGTGCTTGTAGTCCCAGCTACTCAGGAGGCTGAGGCAGGAGAATGGCATGAACCCGGGAGGTGGAGCTTGCAGTGAGCCGAGATCATGCCATGGCACTGCAGCCTGGGTGACAGCGAGACTCCGTCTCAAAAAAAAAGAAAATAAGGTGTTCATGGGGAAGTAAAAGTAAAGAAAAAAGTGAAAAACCATGAACAAATATGAAGTTTCTCTGGTCAGCAGATAGGTGATGTTCTGTATATTTTGAGGTATTTTTTCAAACTTTGTACCTCAGTTTATCAATTTATAAATACTTCTATATGATTTCTTTCACTGTACCCAATTCATTCTTAAATTATCTTCCCTGGACAGACAGCATTAACATTTCACCTAGGGAGCTGTTGGAATGTAGTCTCAAACCTCCCTGCAGAACTGCTGAATGAGAAACAATAGTGGTGAGGCCCAGCCGCCCGGAACCCTCCAGTATTCAGACATATCTGAAAGCTTGAGAACCACTATTTTTTTTTTTTTTTTTTTTACAACTCTCAACATCATGAATGTGCCTTCCTCAGGAATCTTTTTAAAAACTTCTTTTCTCCTTTTTATACAGACATGTTCAAATCTCTTCTACCGTTTTTCTTGTTTTGTTTTGTTTTGTTTTTGGAGATGGAGTTTCATTCTTGTTGCCAAGGCTGGAATGCAATGGCGCGATCTTGGCTCACTGTAACCTCTGCCTCCCAGGTTCAAGTGATTTTCCTGCCTCAGCCTCCTGGCTGGGATTACAGGCTTGCACCACCAGGCCCACCTAATTTTGTATTTTTAGTAGAGACAGGGCTTCACCATATTGGCCAGGCTGGTCTTGAACTCCTGACCTCAGGTGATATACCTGCCTCGGCCTCCCAAAGTGCTGGGATTACAGGCATGAGCTGCCACTCCTTGCCAGATCTTTTCTACTTTTAACAAAGATGAGGAAACCTCCTCTCCCCTAACATAAAGTCTTAGACCTGAATCCAACTTTTTCCTCTTAAAACTTAGAGATGACAGCTAAGCTTTTTGAAATTGTACCTACCCCTCATGTAAGCAAAAACCAAACAGAATATGAGGGATGGATTCCAAAATAGGATACAAAAATACAACAAAATAACCTAATTGTCTTACAAATGAATAACATCATCACATGGAAAGGGGATAGGGAAGAAAACAAGGAACCTAAATAACTGGAAAATAGTATCTTGACTGGATATCATAATACTAATGATAAGAACCATACATAAATTCTGTAAGCTAGTTAGGCGTATGGGCTAGTAGTTGTGAAACTTCTTCGTGTGTATACTTTTTACATGAACAGGTTAGTACACACAGCGTTTTGTATCTGTGGATTCTACATCTATGGATTCAGCCAACTGTGGATTGATAATATCTGGGGAAAAAATTGTGTATATACTAACATGAACAGACTTTTTAAAGTTGTCATTCTCTCTTTTTTTTTTTTTTTTGAGACGGAGTCTTGCTCTGTCGCCCAGGCTGGAGTGCAGTGGCGCAATCTCGGCTCACTGCAAGCTCCAGCTCCCCGGTTCACGCCATTCTTCTGCCTCAGCCTCCCAAGTAGCTGGGACTATAGGTGCCTGCCACCATGCCCGGCTAATTTTTTGTATTTTTAGTAGAGATGGGGTTTCACCATTTTAGCCAGGATGATCTTGATCTCCTGACCTCATGATCCGCCCGCCTCGGCCTCCCAAAGTGCTGGGATGACAGGCGTGAGCCACCGCACCCAGCTAACTTATCATTCTCTAAACAGTGCAGTATAACAACTATTTACATAACCTTACATGGTATTAGGTATTATAAGTAATCTAGAGATGCTTTCAGTGTGTAGGAGGACTTTTGTTGCTTGTCATTCTCTGTAAACAGTGCAGTATAGCGCTGCAGTGTAAAGTTTACATAGTCTTTACGTTGTATTAGGTATTCTAAGTAGGGATGCTTTTAAGTGTGTAGGAGGATATGCATAGGTTATATGTGAATAGTACACCGTATGTCAGGGACTTAAGCATCAGTGGGTTCTGGTATCTGGGAGTGGTTCTGGAACCAATCCCCTGCACATACCAAGGTGTGGCTGTATATTGTGGACAATGAGACTCGGGTTTCTCATTATTAGAGAGAGATGAATGGCTAACGTTAAAATCCTGTGTGAGTGTGGTTTGAATCAGACGTATAAACTCTGTGGTGTTTAATATTGACAAATACATGCAGAAATATAGACGTGTGTTTATGTATGGGTTAATATGGATACATATACTGTATTTTATTTTTAATTTAAAAAAAATTATTTAAGAGACAAGGTCTTGTCCTGTCACTCAGGCTGAAGTGCAGTGTCTCAGTCATAGCTGACTGTAACCTCAAACTCCTGACCTCAAACAATCCTGCTTCAGCCTCCCAAGTAGCTGGGACTGTAGGTGTGCACCACCACACCCAGCTAATTTTTTAATTTTTATTTTTTTGTAGAGATGGGATTATGCTGTGTTGCTTAGGCTGGTATCAAACTCCTGGCCTCAAGTGATCCTTCCCGCCTCAGCACTGATACTACAGGCATGTGCCACCATGCCTGCCCCTTGTGCTGTGTTTTGTGACTTTTTCTACCGAGAGGCCCTAGAAGCTTCAGTAACAATGAACATAGCTGGTGCCTTGATCTTTAATAATAATTGTTACAGATAAACTTTTTTGATGGACGCCAAAGTTGGTGGGCAGAAACTTGAGAAACAGCGTTTTTGCATAGCCTCAAATTTGTATTACGTCCAAAGGAAAAAATATTGAAGTGGAGAAACCCAGTAGACACCACCATAACCAAACACTAAATTTCGTATCACCTGTAATAAGACAGTTGACATCAGGAGCCCCTTGATACGATTCACTGAAGGGGATATAACATTATTTCTGTGATATTCTTGCCAGATATGTATAATCATTCCAGTCATGAGAAAATATCAGACAAACCCAAATTTAAGGACATTCTACAAAATAATCATCCGTTCTCTTTAATAGTGTCAGGTTCATGAAAGATAGAAAGACTGAACTGTTACAGACTGGTGGAGACTAAGGAGAAATAACAACTAAATGCAATGTGGAATTCTGGATAAGTTCTTGGAACAGAAGAAAGGTGTTAGTGGGCCTGTAGTCCCAGCTCCTTAGGAGGCTGAGCTGGGCGGATAGCTTGAACGCAGGAGTTCTGGGCTGTAATGCACTGTGTCGATTGGATGTCTGCATTAGGTTTGGCACCAATTTGGTGACCTTCTGGGAGCAGGGGACTTCCAGGTTACCTCAGGAGGGGTGAACCGGCCCAGGTCAGAAATGGAGTAGGTAAAAACTCCCGTGCTGATTAGTAGTGGGGTAGTGTGTGTGAATAGCCACTATACTCCAGCCTGGGAAACACAGCAAGACCCTGTCTCGTAAAACAAATAAACACAAACAAAGAAAAAACATAGTAAGGCCCTGTCTCTTTAAAAAAAAAAAAAGAATAGTGGGGAAAGTGGTGAAATTTTAATAATGTCTGTAGTTAATTATAATATTGTGCCAGTATTCATTCCTGGTTTTCATAATTTTTTACTGTGGTTATACAAAGGGTTAATATTAGGGAAGCTCGTGAGGCACGTAGAGGATAGGTTGCTGATTTAATCATAGGCCGAGATATGGAATACTTGTTGCAGATGTGGTAATTTTTTATTGCATGAGTTTTTTTTGTTATGTTATCTCAGTATACAAGGGCATCAGATTCAATTTAAAATTCAATTAACTGAAAATAATATGAGGTGATCATTTGATGAGT